AGAGGTGCAGACTCTCACGCACCACAAAGCTGAAGCACAGATTCACTTAGAGCCTCAGGTGTGTGTCTGCACGGCTCAGGTGTGGCAGCGTAAGCTAACACTGCAGGTCGCTTCCTCCCGTGTAAACATCGCACACGTGCTTAACCTGCCAACAATGGGAGCGTGAGCAGCTCTCACAGGACGATCCTTAGTGTAGAGTGAACAAGCCTGCTGTGGAATGTGTGTGTGGGAGTGTGGCAGGGAGAGTTTTCCATTTCACTCCGGCAGTAGGAAACATCCCAATAAGGACGGCAGGGCGGGTTCTTGCCGCTGACGCTGTGTGGGCGGGGCCTGCTGCCTGATTAAATGGAGCAGTGATGATGAAGGCGAGCAGAGCTCCGACTGTGAGACAAACTGAAGGATGGCAATGCTGCTGCAGCCTCTGTGGAGCTTCGTGCTGGGACACGCCCCCCTCCTGCGCTCGCCCTTCTTCCCCGTGCTCTTCTCGCTCTGCGTCTACCTGTCCTTCTGCCTGCCCTTCCTGCTGCTGGACGCGCTGTCCACCAGGTGGGCGTGGGCGCTCAGGTACAAGCTGCAGCCTCAGAGCTCCGTCAGCTGGTCGTCGGTGCGGCGCTGCCTGGCTCTGACGCTCTACAACCACCTGGTCTTCATCTTCCCGCTCACCGTGCTGCACTGGTACCTGAGGCCGGTGCACCTGCCCGAGGAGGCCCCGCCCCTTCCGCGCCTGCTGGCCCAGGTGCTCGTGTGCCTGCTGCTCTTTGACTTCCAGAGCTTCGGCTGGCACCTGCTGCACCACCGAGTGCCCTGGCTCTACCGCACCTTCCACAAGGTGAGTCCCCGAGGACGATGGCGGCGGTGACGATGTCACGCCTTTGTTCTTCCTCCACCTCACGCTCTCTCTCCTCCTCCTGCAGGTGCACCACACCTACACCTCCACCTCCGCCCTCACCGCCGAGTACTCGGGCACCTGGGAGACCCTCAGCCTGGGCCTGTTCGCCGCCGCCAACCCCCTCCTGCTGGGCTGCCACCCGCTCACCGAGCTCGCCTTCTTCGTGGTCAACATCTGGCTGTCGGTGGAGGATCACTGCGGCTACGACCTGCCGTGGGCCACGCACCGCCTGGTGCCGCTGGGGCTGTACGGCGGGGCGCGCCACCACGACCTTCACCACCTCAAGTCCAAGTGCAACTTTGCGCCGTACTTCACCCACTGGGACCGCCTGGCCGGGACGCTGCAGACGCAGGACTGAGCCGCCGTGATGGCGAGGAGCTGA